ATAATCCAAAGATGGTAGGCATATATTGAAGAGGATTCAATCGCAATTAGTATTTTATTTGTTGAACAGCTTACAGTACATACAACATGGGACATGAAGAGACAGTCAGAACAAGACAGGCAATGCCTAGCTTACAGAGGAAATGAGAGGAGATAGAGAAAAGGAAAAATCATCACCCAATGAATAGTTATTTTCCCTGCTCCCAGAGCAGGCGAATCAAACTTGCCACAATTCTTCCGTTGAACTGTCCTTGCATGAAGCTAACATCTCAAAAACAACAATGATGAGAATACGGATGATGATCCCAATCAAAAATGAAGAAAAACTTGTATATATATCACCCCAAATGAAAATCAACAGGATCCTAACCTTGCGTAAAGGTATGGTTCTATGTTGTACTTCTTGCTTGCCTTAGAAGAAAGAAAAACAAAAGGAAAAGAAGAAAAGCGTAATGCACTCATCCATGAGATGAAATAATCAAAGACCAAGCGTTTCAACTCTTCAAAAAATGATTTCATGCAGCAATGGATAACAGTTCAAGATAGAGTGGCAAAAAGGTGCAGCAAGAGAAAGAGGGAGACAGGAAGGTCATGACTTAAAAAAATGCCACATCATCATCTTCTGCTTCACCTCCTTCTCTAACCATCACTTTTGGGTTTTATTTTTTTTTATACAAAGCTTAACGTTTCTCTCTTCTCATTTTCCATTTGGCCTCCTAGTCATAGCTATCACAGAATGCACAAAAGAAGCAGCTAGAAGGGGAAATCCTGAAAAGACAGGTGAAAGTATGCAAGCAGGAAGAATGATAGGACAGGACAAGAGAGAGAGTCCATACATGTCCTGTTGAATCAGCATCACCGGGATCAATTCTGTCTCGGCTTTGGAAATTTTGTCTATCCAGGACTGACTAGAGCCATGAACATCAGATGATCAGGAATAATTTCCCAAACTCGGGTTTAGCGAGGGAGGAAAAAAAACTTGGGACAATGTTTCTTTGGGCCAGCTGATGCTCATGAGATCATACGATTTAATCAAGTCCTCGAAAAGTAGCTGAGGGGAAAAGAAAATAATGGGAGAAGCACGAGTGTCTAAAATGCCTGCAAGGAGACTGTGAGCAAAACTCCCTTCCTTCTTCTTGCCATCCTAATACTGCATGATCCACACCAGGGTCACTGCACACACAAATATGAAGAAAAATGTCTGAGAGAGACAGTCAGAAGCACAGCTTCCCTCATGTGCCACGTAGGAACTTCTTTTCTTCAAGGTACCATCATAGATAGAGAGAGATAGAGAGAGAGAAGAATGACAATATTGATAGAGGAGTGCATGACCCCAGGCTAAGAAAAGCAAAAAAAAGCTGAACGAAGGAAAAAGACCCACTTTGTACAGGAAAACTTACGAGTGCCCTGGTATTGAAGAAAATAATTTCATCCATAATTGAGCAGATCACAAAAGAATAAGTGTTTGCTTTCTACATACAGATGTGTCTGTCTCTAAAAAGCAGATAGCTACCTAGCTGAAGACAACTGTGTTGTGAGTTCTCCCCAAACACATAGGTTCTAGCAGGGATTTAAAAGGAGTGTTTGGACTGACTCAGATGAGAAGATAAAAAGGAGAAGGGCATCAGATGAAAGTCAGGAAGAAAAAGAGAGGCAGGAATCAAGCAAGAATGAACCAGAAACAGCAAACAGGGCAGTTGGTGCAACTCGGGCGCATGTATCACAGCTCTGCAATCCCTTTGCAAATGACCCTTCCACATCATCTCATCTGCTTCTCACCAAAAATAAAAAAAAAACAAACAATCGATCAATGAATCGAACAAAAAAACCATTAATGGTAAAACTGAGACGAGTGTTGCACTTGTGGGAGACCCTCAGTGGGAGATCTCGGGCTACCGGTGCAATGAAAAAAGAAAGGGAAAAAAAACAACAGATCTCTCTATGATGAAACATGAGTCACTCTCTCTCAAGCATTCACGAGGTCCAGTTGCATGGATCAAAGGGGATGCTTATTGCGTGGGTTGAGGTTGAGGATGGTGAGCCTGGTGGGAGGATGTGGGTGGGACCTGGGACAGATGTTGTGGGTGGTGGTGGGACATTTCCATCCCACCCACCCCGTTTCCACCCATATGGACAGGATGATGAAGTCCCGAGGCTCCTTGGTGGGGAGAATATGCATGCCTCAATGCTGCCGGATTTCCCAATGCTAAATTCAGTCCCAGACTTGCCAGAGCCAATCGGGGATCTCCATGCATCCTCAATGCCTGGTTGAATCGAAGGACTTCATCTTGTGCACTGGCTCCCATTGCCACTGCCTGGCTTGTGACTAGCCTCAGGCATTCCCTCAATGCTACTTCAGATGTAGTCGGTATAGGCTGACTTGGGGGAGCGAGAAGAAGGGCCGGGGACGGCGTGGAGCTGTGTGAGGGGTGGTGACCGGATGGTCCTTGTTGAGCTTGTTGAATAGGATTGGGAGTGAGGAGACCGTTGGGGCTCATCCCGGACTCACTAGGAGTGGGATGAGGAGTACTAGACAGCGACAGTGGTGGTTCGCCTCCATCTCCAGGGGGACTGGTGGGAGTCGGTGTGGGGACGGTCATCGGTGTCCCACTCCCGTCCCCTTGATCCTGGGAGTGGGAAGAGGAAAGAGGAGGAAGGGAGCCAAGGTGTTGGTGGAGGGACATGGGATGGCCATGTCTGCCAGCTCCAGGGATGTGCAGATTCCCGAAGTGTCCGTTCGTGGAGGTAGGGTTGGAGACGACGACGGAAGCAGCTGCCAGGAGGGTTTCCCGCTCCCGACGCTCTGCCGCTGCTCGGCTCAGCACGTACTGTGCCGCGAACTGGTGCTTCGGGTCCATCCGAAGCTGCTCCATGTGCGTCAGTAGACCTGCATACAACAATGAGGATCTATCATACTACTACTCCATTCCACCAAGTAAGCAAGGCACGAACGAGGGTGATGGTAATGGTGTGACACAAACCAGCCTCGTGAGGGAAGACGGCCTGGCAGACAGAGCAGGGCCACATGCGTAACGAGGAAGAGATCTGGGCCGCTTCCGGGTGACAGGCGAGGTGTTTCCTCAGGCTTCCCTCATTCACGTAATGCTTTCCACATACGGGGCACGGGTGATGCGTGTTCCGCCGTTTGCCTGTACGAGGACCCGGCGGGCGATGGTCGAGAGCAAAAGGAGGAGAAAAGAGAAAAGGAAAGGGAAAGGTAACGCAAATTCGTTAGAGGCCAATTTCAAGCACTCACACCCACACAACACTGTCATGCAATCCATCCCTCACACTCTCCAATCGCAACCCAAAATTCATTGTGGTTAAGTTTCAACTGTTAGTTTTCACTTCATAAAACATTAAACACTCAACGAGAATGTGTACAGTGTGGTGAGAAGTTACTGATGAGGCTTTAACTTACTGGCAACCCCAGAGGCATTGGGATCCTTGTGCGTGTATTTCATGTGCTCCATGAGCGATTCTCCGGAGAAGAAGAGTTTGTGACAAACGGGGCAACTCTGGGCATTCGGTCCCCCAAGCAGGGCTGCATGCTGCACAGTATCCCACAAGGAGTGAGACTTTTTTTTTCCAAGGGAAACAGGTCGAAATAAAAAGCGGACTTTTGGCGGATGGGAATCGAAGAAAAGGACATGTGTATTTTATACCTTGCCGGTGTGAGTTCGAAGAGAGGATTCCGTGGCGAAACCCTTTCCGCAGATGTTGCAGTGGAATGGTCGGTTCTTGGACCTTTCGACCTGACTTTCGTGGTTTCGCAAGTGTTGTTGCAAATTCGACAGCTGGATGAAGGCTCGACCGCACTCTGCAATGTGACACTTGTACGGACGCTCTCCTGCAAACAACGATGACCCATGTAATGAACGATCACGGATATTATAATAATAAAAAGTCGTCCTGCAATAAGATGACATTTTTAGCGTTGAGAACTATGATGCATGAAAAAATAACTTTGTACAAAGAGTTGTGGCATTTAAATTTTGATTTAGTTATTTCCTCATGCATTTGAAGAACCGAATCCCACAAGATCAGACACCTATCTCAGTCATGGGCTGGTTCAGAAAACTCAGGAAACGTTGCGTTTTGTATATGGGTTTTATCAAGGTTTCTCGAGATTGGGTTCTTTGTCTTTGAGAAGGACGGGGATGCGAATGTAGTACTAGGCGTTCAATTTGGAGATTTGTGAGAGGCATTTCAGCTATGCGTTTCAGATGTGGAACAGGGGTGAGCGACTTCCACAGATCTCGACACACATTGTGTACCAACGACGCTCAATCTGAGAACATCTTCGACTCGGATGCCCAGCTAAGGTGCAATCTAGTAAGCCCAGATATTCAAATCCCCAGATATTCGAATAAAAATTCATCTCTCGCCAGTTTTTCACTACTGCAATTAAATTAGCTTGCATGAGGAAGGCTTTCAGCTGAGCTTAGGCAACAGACCGGAAGACATCCATTCGTTTGCTGTATCAAAGAGAGAAATTAAAAACGTGCTGGCTAGTACAGGTTTTCTTGAAACTTGTGAAGCTCATCTTTCGATCATGAAGAAAGTGTCAAATCCCGATATACAGTAAGAAAAACATTGCATGACTATGCGAAACGTGCGGATAGATTAGATACCAGCTTCAGCAAGACCAGAGAAAATCATCCATTGTAACTGCGCCAACTGCGAACTGGTTCAAAAAAATCATATGACGCACTATATACTAAGCTCATGCGAATATCAAGATGTTCCTGATTGAATTGCGTTCACGTTTCTGGGAGAACGGCTGGACGAACCTCTCCACGTCTAAGACGCCTTCCTCGCTTGTTTTAAAAACAGCTGTGGGCGTGATGAATTACGTACTTTGTTTTACGGTCCTTCCCATCCTCCCAAGAAAGGGCAACCCAAACTCTCTAATAATCCTGTCTCTACGGGATAGTTGGCGTTCTCATTGAGCAGGTTCTTTGGGACAATAATCGAGCAATTTATGATGAAGAAGTTCTTAGGAAATGCAATTACAAATCCGGAAGCACATACATGTCCCGGGAGAACGATGGAGGAGGATAGGTAGAATACAGAAAATTCTCTCTAAAAGCTAAAACCCCTACGTACCAACCCAAGTAGGAATCATGCGGTATTACCCCTTAAAAGCAAAAAAAAAAAAAACAATAATTCACGGCGATCACCTGTGAAGCGTTAACCACCTGCGGGAAGCTTCAATCAGTCTTTCAAACTCTGGATAAAATGCCCAAGGGTGGAGCATTCAAAAGTATCCCTGAGAGGATATTCTTTCTGGGATATCACTTTTTCTCATGCCACGTCCATGTTGTGTATACAATCCGGAGATAGGTGCGAAAACTGCCTCAATGTGTAATTGACATTCAAACTTAAAGGGGTATCGTCTTTATAGGTTGATTTCTACTTTGTGATCAGTCGCAGTCCAGCTGAAGTTCGGTTGACGTCCTGGTTATGATAATGTTTACGTTTCCGATATCGTCGATGGGAACTTTGGAATTTTAAATCATACTGTAGTTGCTCAAGGTCTCGTCGATCATGATAGAGACTACCACGAGACACCAGTGGAACTAAAGACACGTTTCGAATAGTCTCCTTCGTCTTTTTTTTAAGTCTTAAATTTAAAATAAACCATTCGCGATAGATACGAATAAGTTAGGGTGTTTGTACTCCATCATTCATGACGTTAATATTCACCCTCATCTCAGTTATTTCCTATAGGATTTTCAGACTAAGCAACATAGTCAAGCTTTCCTCATTGCGTCTCGTCAGCTGCAACCATCTACGTGATCTGGACTCATGTTTTGTTGGTCTTCCTTCCTTCTTATGTATACATTGTGATAGTGCATAATCTCGCAAAAGCAGAAACCAGCAACGTAAGAAAGAGGATGAAACGGATAAAGCAAAATTTAGGACTGCTGATTGATTTTAAAATTTAATCGATTAATCGAATTTTAATGAAGCTCCCATTTTCTCCCTGATTTCGGTGGATGGAAGACAATACACAAATTACTTCTGAGTTGTCACTTCTCACTAGCACATCTCCGATAGGCACGAGGAATAGGATCAACTTGTAAGGAAGGATATTCGACGCTGGACATGAGGGGAGCAATGGTAGGAGGAAAGTCCGTGTTCTCCGATTTCTCTCGGCATCCAGGCAGCGAATATATTACATACGCCAAAAAAGAAACACTCGCACATCGCGCATTTATGTGGAGGAATGGTTCTCTTGCTTCATTCTCGCCTCATCTTACTAGCCATCACTTTTCTTACTTCTATCCTCTTCTTTCACCTGTCTCTTATTTCGTCTTTCGACAAGGATCGACCCTGATCACTCATGATGACGAAACTGCGTTTGATATTAGTGCCACCATCTCTTGTCTTCGGCTCCGTCACACATAAAACATGGAAAATCTATCGCGTTTGCAGTTCGGAGTTTCCTCATCGTTTCCCTGTCAAATAGTTCGCAGAAACAGTCTCGTCTTTTTGACGACTGCACACTAACGCAAATCAGAGCTGAATTTTTTTGTTGTTGCCGGAATGAAATATTGTTTTCAATGAGACTATGTACACTGAAGCGGAGCGAATCGAAGCGGGGTGGAACGAATTTTATTCCGCGCGGTCAACGCATTTTTGCACAAACATTGATGTGAAAACCGCGATTCAGGAAAGTATAGACTTGTATGATATCACATGCAGTAGAAAGATATTCGCTCCGCTTCGGTGTGCGGGTAAAATCCGCACCGAGTTGAAACGGATCAGATCCGATCCCCGGTGGTGTGCGGGCAATCGAACATCCCACGTTCGCACGAATTGAGCTATGAGTGCAAGGAGAAATCCGGATCGAACCTTCGATAAATGGAGCCTTGAAGCATCCCGAGTTACTTACGGCTTACGGACGGGACAGAGAGGGATAGCGATGTAAAGAATATTCATACCCCGTAAGAAAACAAAGAGTTCATTGCTGGAGAACTGGAAAATACAGTTACGAACCCCCTTCAACGCTGCGTGCTCTCTGGATGCTGAGGAGAAACCAGACAACATAAACTAGCCTCTTCTCCTGTTCCCATCATGTCCAATAATAAATATCCTTTCATCCAGGTCGACTCATTTCAAGGCAGGTATTGCGGCTCTTGTTACAGGGGTAAACGCTAAAACTTATAATGGTATAAAAGCTTTCTTTTCCATCTCCTCCCGATGTCCTCACATGTTTTTGCATTATCTTGCATTATTCATTATTTTTGTGCCTTTCCCATTATAAAAAATATTACTTTGTACTTTTAGTTTTTATTTAAGAGTGAGCAATGTAAAAATGCCTGCCCGCTGCAAACCCTCATTTCATCTGATCCCAGAGAAAAACTCTATTTTTGGCTCTTTCACAAGAATGTGCACTATGCAATGAAACTGGAAGGGAAAAACAGGCATTCAGGCTGGTATTTTACGGCAAATTGAAATTCGATTAATTTTGATTACGATTAAAATGCCATTTATTAGTCGCTTAATCTAATTGAATTGGAAGCCCTAATATATAAGCATAAATGTGGAAGGAGATTCAAGTCAGATCTGAGTCCGACACTTTCAGCACATGAGAATGTATCGGAAACCTGGATTCAGATTCGAATTATATCCGACTCACATATACTCTAAATCCGTCTCTGGGCTTTGGATTTTAGTACCGTTTAGTACTATCAGTAGTAGATCACTACTTGGCCCCCAAACGGCACACCGCTAGAGCAAGACGAATCCAACGGTACCCCATCTGTCGAAATAGGTCGTTTATTTTTTTCTCTACCCAGATCTGTGGGATTTGGATATCAAAAACTCTTAAGCGCTTTGAGTTCTTGATCTGTTCTAGCAACATTCTAAAAGCACGGCCAGAACATGAAAGACCAATGATACCTCATTAATCAAAGTTGGTCCAGCAATTTTTCCTACTAGTTGATCTGTGTGTGTATTTAATTTTACTATTTCGTATTCTAGTGTTTTACAGTGATAAATCGGCACTGGAGACCACAAATTGGTACGCTTTCAGCGAATACGTTCCAGCATACTTATTGAAATCGGTCCACAACTTTTTACTCTAGGATGGTACGAGTGTTCTAAGGCCAGAAATACGAGAACACAGATTTTTTAAAAAGTACCTCCCGATCTCCAGAAAAACTGAACCGTAACGGATGAACTTCGTGAACTTACGGACCTTGGCGAAAGGAGCAAGGAAAGGAGGGGATATACAGATTTTGGAACTCATGTACGAAGGTGGAAAAGAGAGACAATTTTGCTAGAATTAATCATTCTGTATTAGGGTTCTTACTATCCAGGCTCCATCGTGCTATAGCCAAAAAACGCAGTTCTAATAGAGTTCTCATTCAATTGCAGACGGAAGGGGATTGGCATGATTATGGAGTATTTCAATAGTGGAGCGGGGAGGGGAATCCGGACTTTCCATGGAATAAAATATAAAGGCGGAGGGAAGAAAATCCACCAACAGTAACAGAACAGCCTCGTGAATCTTTTATAAGCACAGACGTTTCTTTCTTCCGTTTCCGGAGATATGAAACCCCTTGAAGCCGAAAGCCTTTTATTGCAGGCCTTTACGCATTTAGGCATCTCGTTGGCCCCAGGCCAAAAACTTCCCTTTCTTCCCTCCAATCCAACAGCCCGTGAATTTCATCGGGGGGGAAGTTGGAAATAAACGGGCGAGGGGGAAGGACTTTTCTTCTCCCCATCATCAGAGATCCAAGCAAGTTTTCCAGGACTGGGAAGAGATAATGAATCGAGTTAATAAAACCGCGAAGCCCGAGGAACGTGGGGATTATCCAATTAGCAACTCCATCTCTCTTGTGACCATAACTTTTCCTCGCTTTTTCCTCCTTAATTGTCTCCACTCCACGCAATCACAAGGCAGGCATTATCATAATTTCCCCCGTCTTTATACGACTGGCCTCCAAGAGTCCTGGATTGCTCCTTTTTGAAGATGATTTTTTTTGCCACTTGACAAAAAAATTACATACATGGCTGCTTTGTTATCAGCGATTAAAGTCAGGTTCCCCTCTTGCATCGAGAACTTTTCTTCAAAATAATTTTTCTTTTTTTCCAGAAAATGATCTAGTTCGACCTCGTAAGATTTTCGCTGCTCCAATGATGGCAATTTCTAGGTTTCTCATCTCGACTTAAAAGGAAGCACAGCAGGACAAGGAGAAGACTTACATCAAGTACGATAGAGAAATGCGAAAGTCTCTTTTTTTTAAGCTGAAAGATTCATGTCAATGCGAACTGACGTGCCTTTGGTGTGCTTGAAAGAGGGATACCCTTATTGAGGCAAACTCAAGTTTACTTCAACAAACTTAGCTTGGCTAATTTTAATTTTGCTAAAAGATAACTTTTATCGTGGTCGGGAATCAGGCAAGCGCGGTATGGAGTGTTGGGGAAACAGAGGGGTGAATGGGGGCCCCCATCTGCTTCCCTTTTTTGCATCGATCAGCGAGACGCAAAATATTGCACACATTCATAATAGAAGGGAAAATATGGGGGGAGAGGGGGGAGAGAGAAAGAAGAGAAAATATCCTCTTTTCATTCTCCTCTTCCCCTTTCCACCAATGACAGCTGACAGAAAGGCCCTCCTCCTCAAAATGGCGCATTTTTTTTCCTTCTTTCCTCCCCTCTAGCTCTTCCTATTATGCAAAAAAGGAAAAAATGGGAATTTCCTTTCCCTAATAGCCAAGGGAGCATGAATCATAGGAAGGTTCTCGAGCGGTGTTGGAATGACGGACTAATCCGATGATAAGGGCACTCTCTAATTCATTTGCACACCAAGTCATGATATCTCAGCCGAAGGTATGTAGGGAGGGGGGGGGGGATGGAATGATTAAAATCGGCGCGCCAATGGCGGTTGCAAAACAAAGAGATGGACGGAAAGACCGAGGCTTGTCGTGCATATTCGCAAAAGGGAAGAAGAGCTCATCTGCATAAAGAGAGCGAGGAAAGGGTATAAATTGAGTTACCCATCCTAGAGCCCCCTTGCTATGGCAAAAGGTACAGACGTTTATGGAAGAGTGAAAGATCTCTGTTTATCATGCCGACACCATAGGTCCTCATCAATTAAAAATATTATATTTCTTCAATTTCCCTCTCGTATCAATGCAAAGATGTCCTGAGACTTGAATCTACTGGGATGACACCTTGCTCCGGCTTCGAAATAGTCATATTTTGCGAGAGCGATGACGTAAACTATCATGGCTCAAACTGTGCCTCAGAACCAGGGATCAAATTAGCGTCTCTTTTTTTCTTAAGCTCAGGCTGGTATGTAGTTTATGTAGTATGTAATAGCTGGTAGGACAGTAGTTTGAAGTTGAAGTTGAAGTAGAAGTAAGGGTAAAAGTTCCTAGTTTTGCACTCCACACGACTTTTTCGCAGTGATTCTGTATAGTTTGGAAGACAAGCAACTCGTGCAGCAGCCTCCTGCCTTACCTGTGAAAGTTCTCACGCCTCCAAGCCCTTCCGTTAACTTAAAAACCAGCTGACCAAATCGGCATCATCAGCGGTTTTCGGAAAAAAAAACCTTGGAGGAGGCTGACAATTTGACCTCTTCCATCATTTTTAGGAATCATTATGTGAGCGCAAAAATTCCATTACTTACGCCAACTGGGGGCGTGAATCTCATCCCAGGCTTCCCGGTAATTAATTAACCAATAACCCTGGAAGGTCATTAAGCGGGGGGAGCGAAATTCCATTCCCTTCCCCATATATGATATAATCGAGGTAGAGGAGAAGAAGGAGCTAAAAACTGGAGCCCAGGGGATCATTAGGGGAGGGAAGGGGTAATTATTCATCATCCCCCGGCCATTAATTACCCTCGGCCTGACACCCAGTGAGAAATACCATCCTCCTGACAAGATATTCTTCACCCTCCCTCCTTTTGCATCTCCTCTTCTTTATTTATATTCATTCAGTCATTCATTCATTCCTTCAGTAGTGGGGAAGTTGAGCCAGTTTCGAAATAATCGCGCCTCTCAAGGTCGGCCCGGACTCCTTCCGGAATTTCCTCAATAGTTGTAGATATAATAATATACGTCGTGTGAGTTGAAGTGTGTGTGAAGGGGCATTCATCATCGTCATCATCATCATCATGAGAAGTAGAAGAAGGGGGAGAGTGGGAGGGAAAAAGCCAGGATAATCCGACGGAAATTGCCTTCTCTCCCCCTCATATGATAAACGCCTTCAAATACATTTTCCCTCCTCCCTCTCTCCCGCAAAACGTCGCTTATTCACGATCGGATTTCCACGACCACAGCCAACTTAAAAAATGTATAAAAAACGGAACCATAATAGATTCCCTCCAGCAGGACAATATGGTCATCTTTCGTTTACCTTATATTTCTACTAAAAGAAGGGGGGAAAAAGACGGGGAGGAAGCTATACCATAGAGGTGATCCATCAGGTCACCTTGGAATTATCCCGTTCCTTTTTTCCCCCACTTAATTGTAGGTCTGCTTATTGAACTAACATGAAACGTGATGTCCCCGTCATGCAAACTCCCCCCTCGGCTCCTTCCTCCTATTTTTTTTCTTTTCCTTTTTCCTCTTCTTTCTTTTCCACGCACGTCAGACGTCATATAGGAGATCCATGCAAGAAACTCCCCATCCTTTCTCAGTGTGGCACTGATGCCGACAAGAGGAAGAGCGGAGTCAGCATGGAACCGAAAAGAGAGAGAGAGAGAGAGAAAAAAAAAGGAGGCTCTCTCGATTGGACACGGGCCTTTCCTGTATCTTGCAACTCGAAAGGGTTAAATGAAGACTCGGGGGGGAAAAAAGGGGCGGCGATGAAAAAGCCGAGTCATGTAGAAGAAAAAACTTCGTCGCCATCACGATTTTTCTCACACCTTTTTAAAAATGCATTCTTGGGTGGCCGAAGTCATACACATGAAAGCCTGATTGATGGGCGACGAAATTAGCCAAACAAATAAATCATGAAATTCTATTTTTTTTTTAAACTGGTGCTATAAAATGAAGCATAAGAAGCATAGTTTGAAGATTTGTGGATTACTTGTACCATAATTTCGATCATATTGATAAGGGGAAGCACGTCTTGGAATCATATATGTCATCAAAAACAAATGACAATTTTTAGCGGAGGATAGCGAAAATGAATTACGCATAATTTCTGGAAATACATCCATTTCATCGGGATCTTGGCGTTTTCAGCAGCAACTGTCACGACTGTTTTCATCGCGAGTACGTCTCGTTCAAGAGGAAGAGCCTTTCAATAAACGATAGGCATCCTTTTATTCTTCTAAATGTTGCCATTGTCAAACACGAGAGTACTAACGCTCGAACGCCATGAGAATTCCGTTTACATGCTAGCGGCATTTCCTCAAAATCTAAGACGAATGTGGATTTCTTTCATATTGACAGGATTCATTTCAGAATAAGAGAGACCTAATTGCATAATCGCTGTTTTTCCTTGGTCGATTGACACACTGGCTTGGAGATTTCACGCTTAACTGCTGTTTAAAACCGCAGCAGAAAGTAAATTTCCAATACTCCCATCGGTTACAATTGCAGGTTTTTCGAATCCAAGGTCACTTTCCCTTTTTGTCTTCCCCCTCTTCAGTATATATATATTAATGGATAGTATTGGATAAGAAATAGACCAGAAGACATACCAGTGTGAAGTCGTGTGTGTTGTTGAACGTGGGAGAGCTGTTTGAATCGGCGGTCGCAGTAGGAACACTTGTAGGGTTTCTCGCCCGTATGCACCCGGATGTGTTGCACCAGCTGATGGTTGGAGGAAAAGGACTTGAGACACTGTTGGCACTGATGCGGCTTCACCTCGTTCCGATGCGCCTCCCGAGCATGCATCTGCATCGCCGACTTGTGCATAAAGATCTGCAAAACACATCCCAGAGAGAACCACTCAAGCCACCGCTAATTCGGGGAAGACTCACGATGCCCTGAGAAAAGGCAATCAGGAAAACAGTGAGGTGGAAAAAAAAAGGAAACACCCGAAAATGCGCTCACGTCCGGTTTCCATTAACTGATCAGCGATCACCTGTCTTAAAGTCAGGGGTTGAGAAATCGTGAAGGAAGAATGACCAGGGTAGACACCCTCTTCCATCATACAATGTTTCTGTTATTACTCATTCTCCCCCTATTCGCCCGGGAGGGATTGATCCACTGATTTCGCACGATTTACGTGATCTCTCAACCCAAGCAAATGCTTTTTTTTCTCCTCTCTAATGCCCAAGCCCGAATTCCGAAAAGCTATCGTCAAGTAGTCCGTCCCACCAGGTGCACAAAAACACACATACACAAGAGCAACCCGAATAAGGTGAATATGACCGTGGAAGAAAGTCACGACCTCATGTATCAAGCGCCCATCCTTCTATTCATTTACATTTTCTATTTCTTTCTAATATATTCACGTTGGGTATTAGAACTTGGGTATTCCTAAAAAAAAAAACCGTCGGAAATACCTGCGGATATTGAGGGTAGGGACAGGGATGTTGAGCTTTCACCGGGGACGCGATCATGTCTCCGAACTAAGACGCACTAGTCAATGATGTCCGGCCCTCTCACGTCGTGTGATTGTGCCAGAAGAGATCATCATCAACTGCTATTTTTCTTTCTTTCTCTCCTTTTTTTCGCTTTTTTTCTCGGATGACTGTTTTCTTCCCGGTCATACACAAGAGCGGGGGAAGGGAGAGCTGGGGTATAAAATCTATCTATCTGGGGGGATCCCTAATGATTTTTCTTCTCTTCTCTCTCCTCATTTCCTTCCATCGCTTCACTGCTTATGACTTCCCCGCCAAAATCTGAAATGTTCTCACATCGTGTGAGAAGAGACTCGTCATTTTAACGGTGTCATCCGTGGGTGTCATTCCCCTCTCATGGAATTTATACGTCCCACATCCCCCCGGGGCATCTCTTACTTGCCACATATGATTGAGACCTCACACCTGCTCCTTGAGAAAAGTTCCACCCATCATGAATGGTATTTCTTTTAATAAAAGAATCTGAATGAATCGATGCGACTTTGAAGATAGAGGAGGCACGCGTCTGTTCGTGACGCAAGTTTTTTCTCCTGGCGGCAAGCATTTCATTTTAGACTCATTATATGAAATTTGGGATGACCCCCAAGGCATGAAAATGGCATCAGGTAAAAAAAAAAAAAAAAATCTAGAGGGTTGTGGAAGACGATTCGACTCGGTCAAGAAGACTGAGTAGAGAAACGTATATAATTTCACGGAAACAAAAGGAAACTCCTCCACGTGCAGCCATTCACCCTTTCCTCACTCTTCCCCTCTTCCATCCTAAGCTTTTTATTTCCAAGAGATTTCATCCTGTAGGGAGAAGGCCTACTCTAGGAAGGGGAGGCTCTCTTTTTCCATTTTAAAGAAAAGCCTCCAGGCCTGTCTCTGCTCTGTTTGTGGGAACAACCGTGTAATTATTCGGATGACAGCCCTGTCTCATTTCTGTCACACTGCAGGACGGAGACAGTTATTAGACAACCCTGATCACCCGCAACAAAGACGGGAAAACACACAAGGCAGTACAATAGACAGAGACCCAGACAGAACGGAAAAAAGTACATTGAAGCCATGCAGATGTTATGGCGACTGGTTAATAGCAGTACTTTTTTTTCTTCTTGCCATCTTTTTGATTATAGGGCATGACGAGGTGTGCGTTATTATTGTTATTAACCCCGGAGGCTCTTTCTCTTTCTCAAGTACCTTGTGAATAGAGAATCGCCTCCGGCTTGAACCTATTTCAATGCTTAATCGGTCGTCATACAGCTGTGCTCTCCAGACTGCACACATTTCCTTTTAAAAAAATAGTTTTTCCTTCGCTTTTCACTACGAACGTGGAAATGCTTTCAACCCATTGCGTCCTTCCGCCACCCAGTCATGCAACGTTTTTTCTCTATATATAGGAATATGCAAACATGGTTCGCGTGACCTCTGCTCTCCTGCCGTCACAAAAAGAGAAAAATAGAAAAAATCGTTTCCCTAGGCGGCAGAAAAATCGATTGGATTATATTGTATAGAGAGGAAATGGGGAGGAAAGAAGTCTTATCGGGAGGCTGAAGTTGGCAGGCCGAGATGTGTTAATCGGGAAAAATCTCTCATTTTCTGCCCCCCTTCCCCTAATGAAACTTCGACAGAGAGGAAACCTCCCCCCTTCCTCCTCCTTCTCCTTCTTCTTCTATATATATGAATATATCCTTCCATTCGGCGGGAATATAGGGGTACAGAGTGCCAAAAAGACGGCCCCATTTTAATCCCCCTTTTTCATAATATCCGCTGAATTAAGCAGGAGGAGGAGGAAAAAGGCCTCCTTCTCTTTCTCTTTTCGGCCTTATGAAATGAATGCAATGGAGGGAAAGGGGATGGAAATGCACTTTTTAGGCCTCGTCCTCTAATGACGAGAGCAAAAATCCTTCCATTACCCGACTTCCCTCTTTCCATACAAGGCTCCCGGCGATTCTTCTGCATTAGATGCAATATGCATGACGACGACGATAATAACACATAATACACATCATGCCTACGTCTATAATTAAGAGGACGCAGGAGAAGACGGAGAGGACGGGGAAAGAGGAAAAATTCGGCATGAAATTCGCACTCACTGATGCACTTTCCATGCGAAACATGACTTGAATCACATTCAATATGGAATGAGAGTATAGAGGGAGGTGCTATTTTGATCACAGTTTAAAGGATCTCAGTGCTTGAAGAAACGGGTTTTCAGACGAGCTAAATGAGGAGACGGAAAGACTGCAGGACTTACTTCCTAAATTGAAAAGGCTTGGGTCTATTAGAGGCGCCTTTCGAGCATCACCATCACCTCAGTTCACTTCATGTTCACTTATGCATCTCATTGAAAATCGGACATCGGCCATCGATCATGCACGAAACGCCCCTCCCTTAAGGAAATATGCACCATCATTCCCCCTTCAGTGTTCGGGACAACACTGATGTTTCCTCTCAGGCGATGGGATTCCAATGTTCCTTTCGCGGAACCGCAACAGAAATAGGCAAATTTCGCAAGAGAGATATGAACCGCGACTTACTCCCCATGATGACTTTTGCAAAAGAAACTACGAGAAAACTTTTTTCAATGACGGGCCGGATTTAGACACTAAAGTAATCAGACTTACATTGACAAATATCTTGCCCGAAATAGTGGCTTTCACTTACAGGGCCAAAAAATTCATTTTAGCAGAGAACACTTTCGCCTTTCGACGATGAAAAACGTTTATAGCTCAGTGGATAGAGTCTCAGGCTAGTACGTGGAAGGCACAGGTTCAAAACCAACCAGGGGCAGGCGGTAATCTCCCGCGACCGTTCACCCAGCAGCTTTCGGATACTATCTGCTTTCTTTTGGGCTCAAGCGTAAGCGACTTGGCGATCAATGGTGAGATTTGGATGATAGAAATTTGGTATACCTCAATCGCACTAGCCACGTTGGCCCTGGTGGCCCAATGCGAGGCAGTGGGGTCTACAGCCTGAACGGCTGTATGCATTGAATTTTTCATCCCATTACCCAGGCCTGTGAAAACGGGTTATTGAATGACAAAGTGTGTGGGAAGACCGCCATCAATGCCGCAAAGGATGTTTGATAAGGATCACCCCTCCTATGCTAAGTGTTCTACTGCCTGTGGCATTTGTCCTAGTCCGTGTGTGTCCGTCCCAGTCCACGCAACAAAAAAAAATTTAGTATCCAGAGAAGCTTGAACAACTCACACGCTCCACGTCAGCAACAAATCAATACAGAAAACCTATCAATCCCGTGCAGCGATTTCTTCGAGAGATGACGAGCGATGATTTTTGCTATGATCACATGAGGGTGCACTTGAGAGCGACGCTACCATGTGAATAGCAATAAGCATGACGATTACGATTTCCAAAGCTATATTGGGAAACTATAGACACATCGTTCCCCTCTCTATCACTCTGAACATCCTGAATATCTGCATGGTACGACTTGGAAGGAATGGTAATAAGTGTCATTCTCTACGTCAGTCATGTACATATTTTAAAACTATACTTTGGGAAATATTTCTGAATCATCACGAAAAGTTAGGGCAAGGCCTTCTTAAAGAAAAGCGCTGCGTTACTACTGACTGTTACTGTCATTTTCTTCAAACTACGAGATAATTTCCCCTCTGACCAAATCTTAATTACAGTTCCTCTTGGGCCGAAAAACGTACGCTTCAAAGCCAAAAGAACTATGAAAAATTGGAAAGCCCCTATGTACCAGTTTAGATCATTTTCTTTCATATTGCTTATTAGCAGAAAACCAGAGAATTCCACCAGATTCATGGTCGTCAGGGAAAATATATAAAAAATTGAATCTAGAATTTCAAGATAACAGATTTGATCTTTGGCTCATCCCTTAATTTAAAGTTACTTCCTAATCAAAGTAAATGCAACCTACTATTCACACACCTTGAACAGTTTAACTATTTGCTGTATATAGATTTTCGACTAGAGAATCGAGATTATTACATTCATTCCAAGAATTTCCATGCGAAATACCAAAGACTATCCATGAACGCCAACCGGAATCAGGCATAATTGCCGCACTGCAATTACTTGTAATTCCCAATTGAGGTAAATACATATGAACTCCTACGGAAAATGCAATACGAAAGAGGACAACACCGAACGTGACATCAATCTTCAGCTGATTCAACAGGTCCTTTTTTAAAAATATTTTTTCTGTGTGGTTAACCAGATGATATCACAGTGCGTGGATTTGCGGATCCGTGAAGGAGAAAGAGGGAGGAGGATTTCACAGTTTTCTGCTTCTTTCCTAAATCATCGCGTCATCACATTCCCATTAGGAAAAACCTCGCCTTCCTCTCCTTTTGGAATGAACCGTTG